CTTTGATGAATCTGCTTTTTTTTACTCGTCAACTTCCCTGAATTCCTTTTCATCATATGTGTACATATATATGTATTGTTGCTTTGTATCGTAAATTGTAGGCTGCCAATGTCGTAAATTCAGTAAAAACTCGTCCTCGTGTCTTATCATTGTATCGGCAAATATTTAGAATTGCTCGAATATGGCAAGCAAACTCTGGTTCAGCCGAAGATTCATCACGTCAAGCTGATTATATGAAAGAGGAAGCAAGAACTTTATTTCGTCAAAATGCACATATTACAGATGAGATGGAAATTGAAGTAAGAGATGTGATCTTTTTTAACTCCCACTTTTAACACTATATTATTTTGAGCAAGGTCTTGACTAATTAAAGTGACCTACGAAATGGAAATGCATATTTTTATTAATACTTTGCATAAAAGAATGCTATTTCGTTAGAAGGAAGTCCTTTTCTAATGGGCAGCTGTTTTGTTGATTTGTTATCATTTGGATAACGGTAAGAGGGGACGTTTTTCAATAATTCGGCCTTATGATCATCCACCAAGTAACCCCATAGTATCATTTTGATACCATCTATCGACCAGCACTTTTATGTTTCATGTAAACTGTCAAGAATTCACTAATCAAATGAGCCAAATCTTTAATTGCAAAACACTAAGAGGGTGTTCCAACATCCCGGACTGAGTTGATAGTTATCCCTATCTTTAAAAATGGTTTACGTCGTTTCTATAACAACTATCGGGGGATAAGTCTACTTCCGATTGCGTCCAAGCTATTGGCTTCCGTCATACTTCGTAGGTTGTTCAAAACCCGAGAAAGATTGACTCGCGAGGAGCAGGCTGCTTTTCGTTCTGGTCGAGGATGTATTGATCATTTCTTCACCCTCCACCAAATGTTAGAACACCATCATACTTATCATAGACCAACAATCGTAATGTTTCTTGACATCAGGACTGCCTTCGATTCGTTGGACAGGACTGTTCTCTGTGATTGTCTATTGAAGAAGGGTGTGCCTGAGAAGTTTATTAACGTCTTGAAGATCCTATATGCTAACACCTCAGGCAGAGTGAGGACATACAGTCACAACCCTTCGTCGTTCCATTCAAGCAATGGGATTAGACAGGGTTACTCAATCTCACCATTCCTCTTCAACTTGGTCACCGATGACGTTCTGGAAACAGCCCTGATGGATGTAGATAATGGTGGTATGGATCAGTTGTCTGAAAAAAGACTTTTCAACCTTGAGTATTCGGGTGATATTGTCTAACTGTGCGATGATACATAAATCATGCAATAAAGCTGTACATGACTGGCTCCTATTGATCCTTGTAAACTCAAGACAATGGCTCGAGACGTTATCATACATGGCTCAGAGTAGAAGCCAGTGGTGATCCTGCTATAAATTTCTTTCAATTTCATAAAAATGAACGTAACTTCTTTAAATGAAATAATTCTTTCTAGTTGTATTTGTGCTAACTGAACTGTTTCTCCCATTATTATTATTATTATTATGTCCCTTTCATACATTAATTTCTATTCATTCTTGTTCTTTTGATTATGCTCACTTTACATTCTCTATCACTTCACAGCCCACTATTACTGTACGGTGCATATGTTTTTGGTTGAAGATTTGTTGGCAAATATAGACTAATTGATTGAGGCTTACACGATTATCATGACTGACAATTAAAGACCTTGGGTTTAAAATCGGCTACATTAGTTTAGATGTATGCATGGTTTGTATCCTTGAGTTTTAAAACTATTCTATACTATATATTATTTAAATTCTTTCTTTTCAAATCATATTCTCTATGCCTAATTTCTTTCTACTATTACTGATACTGTTTTTCTAGTTCCACTACTCTAACATTCATTCCACTTGATAATTATATCTGACTGTACTTGAACAAATCCATATTTATCCCGTGTTATACTTCGTATATGACTCACGATATTTTATGACTCTTTTCATATGTTCATTTTTTTTCATCTACTTAAATTCATTTAAATAGAATCATATTAAAGAAGCTGAAGCAAGAATTGAATTAACTTTACATTATGGTACACCATATCCACGTTTAACGAATTTACCACCAAATACTTTAGCCGCACATATGAATACATCAACGATGGGATCAACACAACCACCATCGTCTAGTGGAAGTTTTACAACAACAACAAATAATAGTAATAGTGTACATGAAAAGAGTCGAATATCACGACGAACTGAACGTGCATTATATGAATCTGTTCCAGCTTATTTAAAATCATATACTTATAGACCGAAAAAATGAGGAGAAACAGTTTTTATGTCATAGATTTTCTTTTCTTTTTTTTTCTTTCATTATTTAGATAGTAAATACAGATTCATTTAAATAGAAGTACCTTTTTCTTCTCATTTATCTATTTGTGTTCTTATATTGATGAATCAATTTATTTATCAGATATTGATTTCTGTATTTGGGATTTTAAAGGATACTCTAAGTAGGAATGCTAGTGAATAATTAATCTAAAGTACTTTGTACCTAGGACTTAACGATTATTAGTTGAATGCCTCTACAATTAGGCCATCACTTCACGATGCTGACGCGTAAGTTTCAATAAATATATTAAAAATCAATATAATAGTGTAGTGATGAGATGACTGTATTTTGTGTTTTTGTCATTCACTCTCTGAGTAGTTATACGTGAATAATAATAATGAAGTCTAGTCAGTCCTAGACAGCTTAGGATCTACTGCAAATGTGTATTAGTTTAAGTTATCACACACATCAACGTAACGGATGAAAATTAAAAAAAACTGGAAGATTGTACGGTGCTATAACTGTGACAGCAGCAGATTAGAGGGTAGCGAATTATTGATCGGACCAAAGACGCGCAAACACGTAGAACGGCCTAGGGTTCTGATTGGCCCTGCTTCCCTGTCTACCCCCCAGCCAGTTGAGTCCAGAACGAAAGTCATAGCCTCTGAGATATGAATCATTGTATTTCAAACACACTGTTTATATACTAATCAAGCAGACCACATCGTACGATAAAATAGAAAATAACATTGTACAATATTGACCAGTAGGAAAATGACACGTGAAATAAGTACTGACCAATAAGAAAATAATATCATCTCCAAGTCCAAGAATAGCATTAGACTTAATAGGATAATTTCTGGGATATTTTCCTGAATATCCCAACATACGGCGTCAATACTTTGTAGGTAGTATTTATCATATTGATCTTATTTTGGGATACAAGTAAAAACCAATTGACACCGGACAGTTTTTTCGTCCTACTATGGGACTTCTCAGTAGTGCGAAATCAAGGCATTCAAGTCCTACTACAGACACCTAATCACTAGAACTAGTAGGCTGGTATCACATTTCTAACCTATCAGTTTGCGATGTAGCACAACAGTCGTCCAATGCTATTGCTGACAATCGTCCCACTTTAGACATACCTGAAGTCTATCAAAAACTGAGTATAGCAATACCAATACATATTTAAACATTAGATTTCGCAAAAGATAAATAAGAATATCTGCTCATTCTCGACCTATTTTGAACTGTTTATTTTAACAGATATTGGTACAAAGAGGCACCAAATACATATGCGCCACACAAATCTCATTCGACATGTGTGAGGGCTGTGATACTGCCTGGGTGCCCAAACCGAAGCAGGTGGTTTTCTTAGGGGGCCACACCCCAACTGTTACTTGTAACCTGCAGGCATAGACTGAATTTACCTAATTAATTGCAACTGGTGATTTCACATTTAAAGAAACTCAAATTGACAGTTAGTGACTTGCTTTGATTTCATGTTTGGAGGTCTAGTGGCTCCCAAATTGCTCATATCCATTCAATGAAAAATCAAAACTGATTTACTACCTTTATCTAGGTTCTTACAACTAACATAATTATTCATCCCGTGATTATTACATATCTGAGCACTGCTTTGAGGATATGTGAATGAATACTAACAGTTTACGCATCCCCTTTACCTTCATAGCTATAAGGATATATATATATATATATATATATATATATATATATATATATATATATATATATATATATATATATATATATATATATATATATATATATATATATACCTTACTGCTTAGCAATATACTCTACTTTTCGTTACCAAATAAACATGTCGCTTTCACCTTGCATGTGTTCTAAATTGACAAATGACGTAGTATCTCTTCGGATACGGTAAAAATCCTCATAAAATAGTTCCCGACTTTCAGTGATCATTCGATAATTTTTAATGTTGATACAAACACTTGTGATTATCTAGTAAGTTTATTTAACTTACAGATGGACTCCGTGTATAGTAAACCACTTGGTCGTTTCCTTAATTACAACTATATACGATATATTTATTAAAAAACACAAGAATAAATCATTTGCTAGTATTTATTTAATAAACAATTGTATACAGTTAGTTGTTAAACACAAACTTCAAGATGGAAATGATAACGCAACGAGATGTCTGTTCAAAATATCTTATTTACCAACTTTAAACTCCAGGCACCAAACACGGTGTAGTGTGATCTTCTGATATTTTACTTAGTGGTAATATTTTAATTTAAAATCAAAATAACTCGACCAAGAATGAAAACACGGACTAACCAACGCTTACTTGTTAATCCACCATAATAAGTAGTAGTGCAAGACCTACTCATAACACAGCTGCGAAGTTCCGAACAGGACGAAACATTTGTCCTAGTTTCTACTGGTAGCCACCGTCTAACTCAAGTTAGAATGGTTGTGAATTAAAGGTAATATCGAGACAATTCGCACAAACTAATGCAAACGGAAAATTAAGTACCTCGACTTCAAATTTGTTGTAATGGATGAGACTGCAGGTTTTTGATAAGCAGCGTTTATATCGATCGCCTCTGTGACACGTAAACACGTACGAACGACCTAGTGTCTTGATTGGCCATACTTCCTTGTCTACCCCCAGCCAGTTGAGTCCAGAACGAAAGTCACAGCCTCTGAGATATGAATCACTGTATTTCAGACATACTCTATTTATATACTAACCAAACATACCACATCGTACCATAAAAATGGAAAACAACATTTACACAATATTAAACAAGTGAAGTAAATATCGACCAATAGGGAATGTACATTTAGCGTCCAAGGTCAACATTAGACTCAACATGATAACTATTGGTATATTTTCCTGCACATCTTAACAAAATTAATAAATGCTAAAACACGAAACCAAATGATTATCTGTTGTATTTCAATTGCGTATAACCGATACACCATACAAGAAGGCAGACATAGACGTTCATACAACTTCAATAAATAGGAATAATTTGTACTAAATTTACAAAAGAAAAATGCAACAACTGCTTTTAACATATCATAATCAGATAAGTATAAGGTCTTTTGAATGTTAACATACTGAACAGTACATAAGTAAAACCCAATAATGTTACAGACACAATATACAGACAATCAAAATTTGACTAAGGCTAACATAATTACCAGTAAGCATAGTTTAGACCGAACCTATATGAAACAGTAGCATAAAGCATGAAAGAAAATTATACACAGTATCTGTACAGGATGATTGGTATTTGTGTATGTAAATATGTGTGCAATAGAGGAAGATGGAAATTGGAAGCGAAAAAACGATAATAGCAGTATAATCACTAAGTTACATTAACATATCGGCAAAATATTCATCAAATTCATCATCTTGTGTTTTGATGGTACCAACACCACTACTCGTAGCGGTAGAAGTAGTTGAGGATCTTTTACTGCCATTCTGTCCCGATTGACTTGATGTACAACACCATACTGAATTCAGATCGGAAGATTTCTCTTCAGATGATAACGCTTTGACATTATCACAATTATTATCGTTAGTGCCATCAATACGCGGACGCTTTGAGGACGGGGAAGTACTTGAAGAGTCTATATTATTATCATCACCATTATTTGTTCCTTGTTGACTGGTGATGCGTTCATCGTCACCTTGATGTGAATTTAATTGTTGACCGGTAACATCTCGCCTCCTTTAGAAATAAAATAAAAAAATAATGAAAATTAAACAAACGTTTTCTGTATGAAATAAAATGGAACAACTTGAATGCTGAGCGTTTTAAGGGTTTCCATGTTCATTACTCAAAGTGTTGATTAAATTCAAGTTCGGCAGAATTTGTAATCAAACGCTAACAAACAAGGGGACTACTAAACACTACTGTATTTATTAATCAATTAATATTTGTCTTGATAATCTCATCATGCTGTGTAAATGTCATGTGGCAAATTTGTCGTTATATTATTAAAATAACCCTTGAGGTTTTATAAAATATTGAAATAAATGGATTAAAAAACCACTGAAGTGACTGATTAATGACTAGTAGTACCCGATATCATACTTATCTATTCTTAGCATTGATTGTATACGATTAATCAAATTACAATATGGATACTAGTTTGAGTCAAATTCCAATGTTTTGTGTTTTAATATTTTAGAGGATTGAAAGTGATTGGCAGTAAGCACTGAGACTACAATAAGTCTAATATTTAGATTTTGTATCAGTTAACATCTGTTATTACGGGGGTGTTTGAACTTTTGAATAAAAAGAAGCCTTCCCGTGAGACTCGAAATCCGGTCACAACTAAATAGATATTACCTATAAATTATTTTATTCGAATATTACAAACAAAGCAAGTCAATCTATTCAATAAAAACACATTCAACCAGTCAACGTGCATCAATCTAGAAAAAGTAAATAATTGATAGACTAAACGTGTGACTAGATGCTCGCATGTCACCCCAAAAAGCATTAGATATATTCAGATTAGTTTTAAACTTTTTTATAAAATACAACTAGCAATTGAGTTAGATAAAGGGTAATAAATAAAAATCTGAAGTTGGTTAGCAAGCTGAACTTTTATCGATTGAAGTGATTAAGACATATATTAAGAATCTCTAACCAGCAACTACCATGAACTGTAACGCTGATTAAAATATGACTAAACTGAACAAGAGGTAAATGCTAGCAGAACAAGATATCTCATTAGTATATGAAGTCAATGGCTAATGACTGAAACTTTCTAGTCAGTTGGGGACTATCAAATACTAGTAATCGACAGATGGACATGTTGAGTGGAATGGAGGCAAATTTGGTCACAATGATACAGCTGCACTAACTATCTTCCTCTGAACCTAACTGCTTTTTTCTTTGAAAACATGTTTTTTCTTTGGCATTATATGTCTGATACTTAGATTTCCTTTGCAGAAGAAACTAATTCATCTTCCTTTCTTTTTATCAAGTTAATCTTCTCTGCCACTGGGGTTGATATGAGGTGTAGCAACCTGGACTGACCAATGTTCGTATCAGTTCTGACTCTGATGATAACTAACTGACATCAATGTGCATAAAGTACACCGTACAGAAAAACATTTAAACTTCTAGTTCACTCAGCTCGAAAAATGAAAAACAAAATAATTAACCTTATAGTTCACACCAATGACCGATCTTAGACAGATATTGGCAAGCAAGAAGAATTGGACAGCTATTTTCTCCTAGTATGAGAACCAAATGTGTATATCGATAACCTTGCCAGAAATCAAAACCAGGAGGTTCTAGGTCTTGTGGTGAGCTCTTAAAATTCAAAAAACTAAATTAGCCTGGCTTCACTGCCGGTGGGGTTATGGATGTGCATAATTAAATACTCTAATACTAAGACGAAACAGTAATCCAAAGTTTCTTGGTTTTCAATAGCTATCTAAGGTTGCCCACTTCACGATGTAAACCATCCAATTCAAAACTCCCAGAAAATTATATGGACAGAAAAAGTGATCGCTAGAGGCGTAATAATGAAATCAGTGTGAAAAGCAAATTTGAATTTTAAAATAATTTGTAAGTCTGACTGACCGATATCGATAATTCAACTTCTCAGAACAAGGAGGACATAAACGTATTTTAACCAAAGCATTACGTCGTTCACCACGTTCCTGATAAACAAAATTCACTTCCCAACTACGAAGACGTTCAGATCCAGCTGGGCAAGCTACATTCCCACAAGTGAACTGACCTGAAATTTTTGTACAACATAATATACGATGAAAATCCATTAAAGAGAATAGTAAGTCGAGTTTTTAAACCATATTTTGATATATATATATATTTATATATATAAAGTCAAGTTATGCTATTCAGTTTCTAAAATGAAAGTTGGCAAAAAATGATACTAATTGTTAATTTAGCGGCTGAAAGCGATATATTTAAATTGTTGGCAATTTTAAACTTGAATCACCGATACTTTTACAATGTTAAAGGATCAACCGAACAACTTAACTTGTATCACTTTAGATAACCTAATCTTATAAAGCTAGTTTTTTTCTGGAAATGAATAAAATAATCAGTTCTTTTTTTTCAAAAATACAATAAAACATTGATGACTATTTTTCCTGGAGTTTTGTTCTCTGAGCTGGATGGTTTGGTCGTGGAGCTTTCATCGTTCTTCTGAACGACATCATCAGCACAAACTTCAGATAGAAGTGAAGTCTTTGCATTTCTCCATATGTGTCTCAAAGCTTGTTCTGTGCACCTCGACGTTGATTGGTTCTTATTGACCTTAAATTTGTCGCTGTTTACTTCTTTGTTTTGGTTGTGTCTCCCATTGTTTTGATTTTTGTTCTTATGTTTGTGCATGATTTTTCTGATTGGTTGATAAATTGGATTGATTTCAATATGCTTGTTGATTGCTGATTGACCTGAGTGCCAGGCTTCTAAAAATTCTCTGGTGTTTTTGGAGTTTCCTCTGTCTAAGATTTCCACATTTTTTCCAATCGAATGAGTGTCCGCAGTTGTCCACGTGTATTGATATAAGTGAAGAGATATCATGCCGTTTGACTGCTAATTGATGTTCATGTAGGCGAAGGTGAAGGGGGCGTCCGCTTTGTCCGATGTAGTGTTTTTCGCAGTTGGCACAATTTATTTTGTAGATGATGTTTGATTTGTTTTCCTTTGTTACTTCATCTTTTGGTTTGCATAAGATTGATTGTAGTGATTTTGTCGGTTTGTGTGCCACACCTATTCCGAAGGTTTTCAGCATTCTCGTCGCGGTTTCTGATATTCCTTGTATATATGGTAGGGTGATCCTGTTGTTGATTTTTGTGCTTGACTTGAGTTCTAATGCTGCGTGCAGTTGGTATTTTTTGATGAAGTTGATGGGGTAGCCGTTCTTCTGAAATACATCCTTTAGGTATTTCTCTTCATTTCTTCGTGCTGCAGTGTGTCCTCGCCCTCTTGAACAAATAGTGTACGCAGTTGATTTTGTGAGCTCTTGGGTTGTTGCTATTGTAGTTGAGAATTTGATCCGTATGGGTCGGTTTCCTATATACTTGAGTTTCCAGTTTTCCTGTGTCGGTTCTAGTGATCAATATATCCAAGAATGCTAGTTGGTTGTTTGACTCCTGTTCCATGGTGAACTTGATGTCATCGAAGACGTTATTGATCAGGTTGTAAGTGTTTTCTAGTTCATTCTTTTTGACGATGACGAAGGTGTCGTCTACGTAGCGAATCCAAATTTTTGGTTTGATCACTGGTAATATAGCGGCTTCTAGTTTTTGCATCACTGCCTCTGCGATCAATCCTGATATTGGTAGTAGTAGTGAAGAGACAAGTTTTTATTGACCAAATAAGAATAAAGACAATTATTCAGTGAAGAAATCTTTCTTCCAAGTGATATTATTTACTGAAGCTGTATAGTCACCTTTATAACTGTGTAATATACATATTTGTCTAGTGTAAAACAAAGTAGAAATGTCTGAGTATATTGTTTTGATGAGATTTTTCAAAATTGAATCGCTACTCAGAGATATGTTTTTTAAAAAAACACAGGTTGTATTATATAGCCAATATTAATTTCGAATCTTGTTCTAATTTACATTGATTATACAGAAATTTTGAACTTTGTGATTATACTATTGATGTCTTAATTATTATTGTCATAGACTGATATCAGCTGAAGTAATTACTAATGAAAATCACGAAGGACTGATTAGAGAGATAATTTTTCTGTATGATTATAACCACTGACATTCCGTTTTAGTACGTAATGTGATTTATTTGTCAGCTGACGTTAATATCATGGCTAAGGCCATCTTTAAAGTTAGTTGATCTCTAAAAAACTACTTTATTCTAATACTTTCTTAGTCGTTATTGCCTTAGATAATTCTGAATTTCAGTGAAATACAATTAAATAATCAAATTCCGACTGGTATTAACTTGATTATTAACTATTTAATATACTTAAACCTTAATCTAAAGAAACGTTAGTTTAATTTACCTGATCAGACAAAAACAAAGTATGACCTAGAAAATACATGGGTGTGTTCCAGTTAACAAATTATTATATATCAACAAAGGAAAATGAAATCAAAACAAGCATTAGAATAGTAGAAAGTGAGTAGTAACAATTAATATAACTGATAAGGAGTTAACTCATATTTTATCGTTTAGATAAACAGATCTCTTTGTAAACTAGTAAATTTAGTCCCGACCGGGATTTGAATCGATAACTGCATCTCTGTGCTAATGTGGTATGGCAACTCGAACTGATGTACATACGTACGAAGTTCTACGTTGTTACTGACTGAGTAAATTTAGTCGATAATGAATATAAAAATGTTATAAAGCAGATATTATTCCAGATATATTGAACTCTCATGAAAAAACAACAACACTAACCTTGCACGGATACATCAGAATGAAGACAACAGAACTTCCAATTGTATATATTCCTAAGACCTACAGTTGTTTTATTCTAGAATATATAGTTTCGTAGTATGTTGTTATCTTACAAGAACATAAGTGAAGTATGATATAATGGATAAAATGAAATTCATACGCAAACATTATGAACTCGAAGTAAATAATTTTTCATAAACAAACTATGCAATGCATACCTTTACCGGAGATCACTTCTTTTTCTAATCTCCATCTCATACCAAACTGTATAGAAACAAAAAAAAAAGGAAATGGAAATTTAAGTAGAAAGTAGACATGATTAGGTGTAGGATTTTAAAGAGAAACTGTAAAATTAATTGGAAAGTTACATAATGAAATCCAGAATAGTATGCAATTATAACTTTAAAAACTATAATAAAAGATATATAACTTAACTGTGAAGTTTACTAATAGGGTTCTCAGATATCATCACTAGTGTTTTAAGACAGGGACTGAAACACCCACCGAAAGTGCACATCCGGTTAAAATACGAATTAGTCCTATCATTTTAAAATGATATATGGACTTCCGTAAATAATTGCTAGACATTTTGGATGACATGATTCAAAATTGTTTGCAAATGATCTATGCGCATTCACTTTTTATCTCCCCTTGAGTTCCAAATTTATAAATTGCTTATAATTTATTTGCCATTTTTCGAATTTATACTTCCTTCTCGAGTTGTATCTTAAATGTCTAATCTTTTCTATTAACATTTTTTATTATTAAAACCTCTACTATTCTAAGATCTACCATAGAAATCTCATCATGCCATGCTAATGCAGTACGGTAAATTGGACCTATGTCCAAGTGTGTCGCGTTCTATTTTGTGTACGACTAAGTGACTGACTGATATACATTATTTTCAGTCAGTCAGACAGTCAGTAACAACGTAGAACTTCGTATGTACGTACGTACAACAGTTGCAGTTGCCATATCATATTGTTTTGGAGGTGATCCGTTTTCTTTGAACTGGATAATGTAATTGGATTCAGCCATTCAACTTAAAGAATACAAAACTTCAAAAAAATTATCGATATTAACTCGATATTTATCTTAAATTTAATATTCATATAAGAGACAAATATTAACAAAGATAATTAGTACAATCAATAATAAACTTAAAAAATTCACAGTATATATCAGTTCAATGCTGTAAAAGAATTTTATCAGACAGAAAACGCTACTACCTTGCAGAAAATACAATACTGTTTAAAAATACAACTCAAAACCAACGTTTAACACTAAATTTTATCATTTAGAATGAATTGCTTTTCCTTATCGAAGATAATACTATATTCATCAGCATTCAAATTGAGGATGACTTATTCGATCGCGTAGTATTTATAAGGACTTATTTCGAAAATCTACTTCTTGATAATTACGTCACCATGACGTTACAATTAAGTTGATTAATTGACCAAGCAACTATATAAAGATGAAAGTCACAAAGAATATATCACTACTGAGTGATGTAATTAGTAAACTATTACAGTACTTGGGTTTTTTTATTTTCAAATCTATGGTAGGATGATTTATGAATACGACCGAATGACACCAAGCAATAAAACACATAAATATATCTCAAGATCCCTCTATTATTTGGTTATACCTATATATAAGTGTAGCGATACTTATTAAAACTCTAATTTATAAAATGACAGGATTTATATGACCCAATGGCACGACTATAATTTATGGACGAACCAATCAAATTTAGGATAATAGGTCTTGGATTTTGACACGAAATTCACTCACCCATTCGTCTAGTTCGTGATGAAAATCATAAATCTAAATCTTAACCCTTACCATTAACTGTAAATCATTGTCTTTATTCTTCAAACTGCTTTATAACCGTCATTTAGCTTTAATAATTAGGTAGATACTATCAGGGTGACCTTGGTGTCGCTCAAAGGTCGTCCATAAATTGTAGTCTCACCAGACCCAGTCACTTAATGTAGTAACATCAATTAATTTGTGTATTCTATTCACTTAAACTTACCTTATTTTCTTTGTAGCGTGATAAATCAATAAGGCAATATTCTTTAAATAGTTTTTCCCAGTATTTTTTAGCAAGACGGTCGGACCTTTGAAGAGACAATAATGTATGAATTAAGATATAGAAATATCATATATGAACAACAATTTGGTTAATAAAATGGGAAAAACAAATGTTTACATAGATGATAAGATAGTAAAATTGACTAAAAAGTGGAGTAAGTAGTTAAGTAGACTGTACAAAACAATGTGTTTACTAGCTAAGTTGAAAAATTGTTAACATGAAAAGCTGATTATCTCAACGATAAAAATATGGTTTTTAAAGGAAATAGATGAAACCTAAGTGATACAAACAACGGTGCATACCGATGCAAAATGTATTCGATATGTTTAGTCAAGGCCCAAACAATTAAAGCTAATTAGCTGTAACTCACAAAGTACAGCCATTTACACGGACTAGATAAAGTGTTTGTAGGAGTTAGTGATAATACTAAGCTGTCCATATCGAGAAAGGTGGAAGCACAAGTTAAAATTGTGGCCAGATAACTGAAAGTCGAGTGTTTTGATTAGTGCGTGAGAATGTTTAGGAAAAAGTAACATTTCAGTTAACTTTATATTCCTTTTTAAACAGTCAATCAGTCGTGTGCGAAGTAGGATATGACATGCACCAACTCAAGTCGGCACACTTCACTAGCACAGAGAGAAAATTATCCAGAAAAACCCCACAGTAGAAATAGTAACAGTATCAGCAGTAGTAGAAAAGATCAGGTGAGAAAAGAGGTACGAGATGTCGGGACTCAAGTTCTTAAAGAAGACAAAGAATGAAGCACCTAAGCCCTTGCGAACGATTTTGAGACAGTTCGCCTCAAGTCTGGGGTGATAACTACACAAAACCTAACCAGATAGTCTGCATTTATTTACATAGCTTAGTTCAGTTTTCGATGACATGTATTGGTGCCGAATTTCGATTTGGAGATCTCTAACGTTCAAGTGAATTCTTTGGTAGGTGATTAACCCCTGAAATGTGTGCCAATGGATGTATTATTTAAAAGAAAGTCTACAACTAAGCTAAATGAAAACGTATAAGGTAGACAGCCCTGACGAACACCACCTGGGGTTAGCGAATCTGATGACAGTACACCATAAGCTTTAACTCGACCAGTAGTGTTCGAGTATATATTCATATATTATATTACATGTACATTATGAACGTATAGTACACATTACACTAATCTTTACAAATAAGTGTTATATATATATATATATATATATATATATATATATATATATATGGGCCCCCAAATGCCCTGGTACGGCCGAGAGTGGGGAGAGTCCGCTCTCCCTCTCGAAATACTCTCACACGGCCACGCGTATATAGCCTCTGCCAGGGAAGTCCTACTCACTGCCTTCTCGTGGCGGGGGTGTTGTTTACGAAAATGAGAGGACGAAAAGCGAATGTCCGGCGCTTTAACCGGATTCCAAACCAATGGTGCACATGGGCTCCAGTATCCTGCGGGAACAAATGGCGAATGAACCAATTGTTGGTCACCGGCTTCCATGGGACTGTATCTCCTTACGATGCTCCACTGCCTTGTGGATCAGACCTTTGGGTCGAAGGCTCGGGGTGTGGCCCCCTAAGAAAACCACCTGCTTCGGTTTGGGCACCCGGGCAGTATCACAGCCCTCACACATATCGGATGAGATTTGTGTGGCGCATATGTATTTGGTGCCTCTTTGTACCATTATCTATGTGTTGAAATAATATATATATATATATATATATATATATATATATATATATATATATATGCGTGAGGCAGTAACTTATTGGTTAGGATGTCCAACTCCAAGTCACTAAATCTCAGATTCGAAACTAATTTTACCAAATTCGATTCCGCCGATTATGTAGTATTATTAGTCCACAACAAAGTACCTGTTGAATAAGCTAAAACAAGAATATAGCTGTTGGAATTTCTAGATATGTTTATCAAAGTGTGAGTAACGATGATAATTGGTACATTATAAAGCAACACAACGAACATACCATGATGTCGCTTCATCTTCTTCTGACCACAAGAACCTCCCATGCTCTTTTATAACGTCAACATCTGTTTTATCCTTTGAACTGTAATATAAATTGGACGTAATCAAGGAGACAAAATTACTTGTCACGTTGGAAGTCCTTCCATGATCCACCGTAATATTGCAAATAGTCATTCACCAACTTTTTATGTCGTTCAAACTTAAGAATAAGTTAAGGGTAAGGTAATGCTTCTTCTAAAAAGACTTCTCAAACAGATAAATAAGGGCTGGATTGTGAAACAAATAGACTAATTAAAACAATTATCACAGATTACGATACAACAAAGATACTCTGAGCAGTGATCTGTGTGCACATATAGAAGGAAACAGTTCAATTCAAAGACAGGTGACCACCCAATACAAACGTAGCACACACATTTCCACTTACGTAAAGAGACGTTTCACTCACTTCCTTCACATTTCAGTAGTTTAATGAAAACTGACCTTTAGTGGTCAAACCACTCAAAGAATACAACAAGACTAATTCTTATATAATGTGAATTACAAGTTACTAGTAATGTAATGGACTGACAGGAAAACACACTATACAATGACCAAAATAACAAATACTAAACTTGTACACAAAGAGTAGAAAAGCTAATCTTAAGAACAAAAAACGTTTAAAAAATACAGGTTAGAGTGCATGGATTAACAAAATTGCAGTGACAGGACTACAGTTTACAAGTTAAAAAACAACTACTTTCTAAATCAGAAGTGTTCAACTTGACGTGAATGTAGGGAATACTAAAAATGTCAAAGTTACACGTATATATGAAATACATGAAATGACGAGAAAACCAGTCAATAAATATGCAATCTAACTATAGCATAGTAAGAACATGCAAATTAAAAACCATAGTACACATCGAGGATGCAAAATAGAGCTAACAATGAGCAAAATCTATGGTCACTGATTCACGGTATGTCGAGAGGTTAGGTTTGGTCGACGTTTTCCACATCAGAAGTAACGGAGTGCAACATATTTCGAAACATACTTCGACTTTGAGAGGGAAACTACACTCACCATTTCACTATTTTCAGCAATAAATAAGGTGCATTCACCTATGTTTGATTTCCATATATCGTAATATGAATCAATTCACATCGTTGTTCAGCGAAGGTTTCAGAGGAAAAGCAAAATCAGTGGTTACATTCACAGGTTTCCCTATCTTGCATTACACTGCTAAAGAAAACTTAATGACATTTTTGTCGGCTGGCAGGCCATACATATAAAAATGGTGAGTTTAAACAGACAATTTATTATCACAATTTTGAAAGTCAAAGGATACAGCATTAAGATTTAGCAGATGATGTCGTATGGTTGAATTGTAGGCTCTACAGAAAAACGACATATAGCATTTAAAAAATACCTTTTATTTTCTGCATCCAAAATCGCTTTCGAGTTTCCATACGCTGGAAAACGAGGCCTGACAGGTTTTTCCCATAGCTCCTTATCCTTAGAAGGAGGTATGTCATATTGGCTACCACAATTTAGTAGACAAGTATTTTACAAAATCATAGAAAAATAACAACCTTATCTCACTGCCACGGTCGATATTACTGGAAGTTTCGGATTCAAAATCCGAAACGTACTCCCTCGACTCAAACATTCCCGCAGTAAAGATTCACTCATAAAACGAGCTGTACAGAAACCCAACGTCCAATAACTTTTAAATAGTTGAAGTAATTTTGTGACGAGCTAGTGTAAAATGTTTGGGTTTCCCGTGCTCACTTCTTTGCAACACGGTATCGTTTCAGTCTTCAGACCTTTGTATTAAGGATAGGAGTCCCTCTGGGGGCTACTGAAAGTCTCACGCCCGGATAAAGGAGGAGAGTTGGGCATGGGGTTAGCGTCCCCATCCCGTAGAAAACTAACTCGCTAAAAAAACGCTCATCAGAAAAAATATCAATAAAGACGCGAGCGCTAATTAAAAGGACAGTTATATTTTTACTCACTGAGTAAATTCTATTGTTTATTAGGTATCAAGTCTACTGTTTTCACTTTAATTGAATTTATTTCTGTTAAAGTATTCGATTATAGTGTCGTTTCTGGTTCTAAATTAGTTTGTCGTCGGTACTTTTGAGTATTTTTTGTCCTTTTGTATCTGTTAGTACTTTTGGTTCTTACAATCTACAGTTTTCCACTTTTTTGATCGCAGATCATTTTTATCTTTAGGTATTTTTGCACCTAGTTCTTTTTTTAAGAAAACGACCCCTGTTTAATGGCTGGACAGTGCGAAAAAAGAGATTGACAACGTCCAGGTTGTCGTGCTGCTCGGATGCAAATAGTTTGCTAACCGAAAACATCTCATTGGTAAGTGCTGCTGCAAAAGTGTTTTGGTAGGCGTGATCGGGGCACATCGAACAGTACTCGCTCTGTTGATACGCAAATCGGTGTAAAGCGAACTCTGATGAATTCGAAAACGGGTGACTCACACCGATCAATGGAGGAAAATTAGACTTCAAAGAGGTCTGTCTTAGCCAAAAATTCAAGAAAAGAAGTTTCACCTGTCCCCGTCTTCTAAGTGGTATCCAGCAGGAAACGCCTAGAAGCCGCAATCGCAAGGCTCGATCGGTTTCTAGCGGGAAACATAACCTGACTGCCGAAATCGTCGACAACCCTCCGGATTCCCATGATATGTTTGACACAACTGTGGTTGTTTTTCGTAACAACATTGACGAATGTGCACAGCTTGTAAGGAAGAAACAACATAACGATATAAAAAGGAATCCTGCCTCCGTAAAAGTAGTAGAGAAATCGAAGGCTGATCACAGTTATTTTTCATAGAATGAAGGAGAATGAAATTTCTGAAACAATAACTCATTTGAGTATGACATTATGCTGGTAAAACATTTAATTAATCAACACATGCCTCAAAAAATCTACGGAGTCACCTTTCTAAAGTTGTACAGACTAGGTAGTTTAGCGAACTTGAAGCCAAATCAATCACGACAACTTAAAGTAGTATTCAAATCTTCGAATGAACACGACGTAATTTTACAGAATGGACATAAATTAAAGGGTTCAGGAGTTTTTATCTGTAAGGACTTGATGTTGATAGACCGCATGAAAAGACGGGAAGCCGAAAAAGAACTTCAACTTAGGTAAGACGCTGGCGAAAAAAACATAAAAAAGTGTAAATTTTCGGGTTGTAAGGCTTCGACAGAGAGTGATGCCGAAGCCACTCTAGGTGAAGCATGAAACCACTGAAATAGCCTTTGGATCTGTTACACGAATGCCCGGATCTTACTTAATAAGCGATCGGAACTAGGCGTGCAGATTGACTCTACAAAGCCAGACATAATCGCAGTTACAAAAACCTGGCTCACACAGTCTATACATAGTATGGAACTTGATTTCGAGGATTTTACGTTAGTAAGGGCCGACAGAATACAAAAGGGTAAAGGGAGAGAAGTAGCTCTATTCACTAGAAATGCTATCCCATTTGCCATTATCGATAGTGTATCCCATGAGAGTGTGACGTGTGAATTAGTTAGTCTCCGCTTGAAGTGCAAGGGACAAGAGCTACTCATTGGTCTCGTCTATCGCAGTCCAAGCGAAGTCTTGCTAAGTAGTCTCAATACTTGATCACAAAGTGGCCGATATCTAATACTAGAAGACTTTATTGTACCAGCAGTAGGCTGGAAAAATCTGCGAACTGAATCGTCAGAAAATTCCTTCGAGCAGGAACTAGTTGAGGCGGTTACCACATGTGCCCTAGTGCAACATGTGAAAGAAGAGACTAGGTACGACCCGGACGCTGAATCATCTTTACTAGATCCTATATTGACTCACTATGAGGATGACGTTGCGAACCTCCATTACATGCCACCTCTAGGTAAAAGTGATCACGCAGTTTTAACATTCGACTTCCACACAACTGTCAATCACGAGCACGCGTTGACTCAATCCATCCGCATAATTAGTGAAGGACGACTTTGGTAAGGCTCAAGTATTCTCAAACTACTTTAGCAAAGTATATACCATAGAAGCATCGTTCCTGTCAGCGCATACAAATCCCCCCACACATACACTGGATAGAGTGACCATTAAAGAACTAGATTTCTTTGGTCTACTAAATAAGCTTGACATAGGTAAATCCACGGGGCCCGATGAATTACATCCTAGGCTACTGAAAGAGTTATCTAACTTCGTCGCGAACCCTTTAAGCATATGCTTTAGTCTATGCGTAACGCAGGGTCGTTTACCAAAAGACTGGAAGAACGCCAGAGTAAGTCCTGCCCTAAAAACAAGTACGAAACATAAACATGAGAATTACCGATCCGTTATCCTAACTAATGTGGTTGTTAAAATTTGAGAATAGATTATTTGGACGGTGCAGTTTAAGTACCTTGATGAAAACAGTATCCTTTCGGAGAAGCAGCACTATTTCAGAATGGGTTATCCTTGTCTCACTAACTTATTAGTGGCTCGTGAAAGCTGGTGCACTCCTAAGGACCAAAAGTTATTTGTAGACGTAGCCTTCATTGATTTCATCAAAACTTTTGACGAAGTTCCGCACAACCGGCCGTTATATAAGCTAAGAAATGTCGGAATTGGAAGCAATCTATTGATGTGGATAAAAGACTTCCTAGTTGGGAGCCAACAAAGAGTACGGGTGAACTCGAAGCTATATAGCTGGGGAACTGTGTTTAGTGGAGTGCCCCAGAGTACAGTTTTGGGGCCAGTGCTATTCCTCTTGTATGTAAATGACCTTCCTTGTCTCCTATCATCATCGGTCTTGCTATATGCTGACGATGTCAATATATGGAAAACGATACGATGTAAGAGTGACAGCTTAGAACTTCAAAATGACCTGAAGAAGTTATCTGAATGGTCTCAAACATGGCAGTTGCCGATAAATGCTTCCAAGTGTGTTGTGGTGCACATCGGTCATCAAGGTACAGATACAAACACGATGAATAACACTGAGCTACTTGTCGTCCAGACATATAATGACTTAGGATTTATCATAAGTCAAGACTTAAAGACTACTGCACACTGCCATGCAATAGCCGCTAAAGGTTTTAGAACCCTGTGGTCAATACGTATAGCTTTTAGTCATGTCGACGCTAAGACGTTTTTGACTTTGTATACAGTGTTCGTTCGTCCTAAACATGAGTACTGCATACAAGCGGCTAGCTCTTGTTTAAAAAAGAAAGTGGGCTTCTGGAAGAGGTTCGGAGAATGGCGACTAAGCTGATTCCCGGAATAGCGAAGCTTCCGTATGAATCTCGACTGGCCAAGCTGAACTTTTTCCCGTTGTCATATCGCAGAACTAGAGGCGACTTGATAACAGTTTTCAAATTGCTTAATGATAAATTTGGACCTGATATGCACTCATTTTTCTTGTCTTCCAAAACAGAAGTTACGAGGACACTCCAAAAAAGTTCACAAGCCGAGAACAAATTACTTGTCAGCTGACTATCGACTTTTCCATTGAATCATCAACACGGGGAATTCATTACCTCACCACGTGGTTGAGGCTCCATCCGTCGACTATTTCAAACGAAAGTTGGATCAACTGAGAGACCACCATTGCCAGGACTAACACAGGCTATCAAGCATCCTGAAACTGATATTAATCTTTGCAGTTTATCGTCTATTGTCTAATGTAGATATCACAGCAACTTAGTTGCACCGATCCTAGTGAATCGTACGGTTTGTTTAAGTTTGATATCTACTGTGTTCAAATAAGTTCATTTATTCCAAAGATATGAGATTTCGAGGACCAGTGGCTATCACAATATTGGAAAGACGGTTAGTTGTGTAGCGGTAAATAAATCCCTAAAATAAAGTTCTGCAAGTCTTTGACGTTGATTCTGATCTAATTACCCTTATTGTATGCACCCAGTGGATAAGTAACTATGTTCACAAATACATGGAACTTCTCGTGAAATCCAGGGAATCTAATTTGTGAGCTTCACTTTTTATGATGCGATATTCTGATTTACTCAGAAGTACGAGGCTCTGGTAACTGATTTTCTGTGGGCCTGTGATCACATAGAGATCATTGGATTGCTCGGAAGTAAATTTGAGCTCAATTACCGGCGGCATGCACTAATCCTGGGCCACAACACAAACACTCTTGTTCAAAGTGCACATAAGAGAATGTCTCAGAAGAGGTCATTCTCTTCTATTGACGTTCTGGGAAATCTGTAGTAGGACAGACGCTGGCCTATCTTTGCGTCCATAGGACGCTATTAAATATCTCCAGCATTTTCTAAAGCTTGAGGTAAGAAATAAAGTTGAATGTATCACAAATTTCATGGTCCATGGTCACTCTAAAATCTTTTGAATGGACTCCGAGCTTTCGCAGCCGAAATTGTAGCCGATAATTTAAAACCTGTTGGGAGAATGACACAAACTAATAGCAGGAAAATACATCCTCTGTTGCGACGATAACATGATGTATGTTGTTGACATTTTGCCTGCACAATGTTCTTGTCAGCGTTTCAGTGACTACATGCTACCGTGTGGTCATGTTTTTGAGCATATTCCAAAGAGATTATTCGCGAAGTTAAGTGCGCATTTCTTTGTCTCAATAAGCAACACAGGTTTACTTCGACGTAGTAATCGGTGGACAAAGAACTACACAGTGGACTTGGTTCTCCGTGTGTTTGAAAAAATGTCAAGCTTTACAGAG